TTGATCCTTGTGAGGTAAGCTGCCATTGAAGGCTCTTTAGCCTCATACTCCCCCCGGATCTGATTGGCGACCAGCTGAGAATCTGTCTTGAGGTAGACATGCTCGGCTTCCAACGATATGCACAGGTCTAAGCCAGCAATGGCTGCTTCATATTCGGCCTCGTTGTTAGAGGCTTTGAATGAAAATTTTAGTGCATACTCGAAGGTTTTGCCTTCGGGAGAGGTAATGACGACCCCTGCCCCCGAACCGTTCACGGTGGAGGACCCATCCGTGAAGACGGTCCAGATTTTCCTCCTTGCATCCAGAGTCTCCTGATAGGAGCACTCGGCCAAGAAGTCTGCCAAGGCTTGCGCCTTGATGGCTGTTCTCGGCTGATAACCGATACTGAACTCGGTGAGCTCGAAAGCCCACTTTGCTAGTCTACCGGATTTTTCAACCTTGCCGAGGACTTTCTCTAACGGCTGATCAGTTAGAACCGCTATTTGATGAGAATCAAAATAGGGTCGCAACTTCCGAGCAGCCACCACCACTGCATAAGCCACTTTTTCTAACAATGGGTAGCGCGTCTCGGCATCCGTCAGGGTGTGGCTGACGAAATAGATCGGCTGTTGAACTTTTTCTTCTTCCCTTAGCAGCACCGCGCTTACCGTGGCTGGACTGACCGCCACGTATAAGTATAGGATGTCTCCTACGACTGGCCTTGCCAGTGTTGGGAGTTGAGCCAGGTGTTCACGGAGCTGCTGAAAGGCTGACTTTTGTTCGTCTCCCCATTCAATGCCTTTTGAATTTTGGAGCTTCAGCGCCTTGAAGAAAGGGAGCCCTTTGTCTGAGGCTCGTGAGATGAACCTGGACAAGGCAGCCATTCTCCCGGCTAGACGCTGAATATCCCTTTTTGTCTTCGGCTCGGGGAGGTCTAAAGCAGCTTGTACTTTGGCGGGGTTTGCATCAATCCCCCTCTTGCTGACCATGAAGCCGAGGAACTTGCCTGACTTCACGCCGAAGACACATTTCTTCGGATTCAGCTTCATTTTGTATTTTCTGAGGGTGGCGAAGGTTTCGGCTAGGTCCGTGACATGATCTTTTTCTTTTATGCTTTTGACGATTGAGTCGTCAACATAAACCTCCATGTTTCGGCCTTTTTGCTCGGCGAAAACCTGATCAACCAACCTCTGATATGTTGCCCCCGCATTTTTCAATCCGAAGGGCATCATTCTGTAATTGTACAACCCGGAACTTGTTATGAACGCTGTTTTAGCTCGGTCCTCGGGGTGCATGAAGATCTGATGGTATCCCGAGAATGCGTCCATGAAACTGAGCAGAGCATGCCCGCTTGTCGAGTCGACCAGTTGGTCGATCCTCGGCAGCGGATAGGAGTCCTTGGGACATGCCCTATTCAGGTCCGTGAAGTCAACGCACATCCTCCAGTTACCATTTGCCTTCTGAACCATTACAACATTGGCCAGCCACTCCGGATACTGACAGGGTTCAATGAACCCAGCATCTAGGAGCTTATCGACCTCAGCTGCGATGTTCTGGTTCTTTTCGGCGGAGTAGTTCCGCTTTTTCTGCTTAATGGGTCGACTGGAGGGGTCGACATTAAGCCTATGGGAGACGAAGTCCGGATCAATCCCGGGCATTTCTGCGGCTGAGAAGGCGAACACGTCTCCACTGGCCCGTAGGAGTTGGACGAGTGCCGCACGGGTGTTTGGCTCCAGTGACGACCCGATGCTAACACATCTGTTCGGATCTCCTACGGTCAGTTCTATTGACTCGGTCAGGTCATCCGTCTCCATGCTCTTAGAGTTGGATTCCTCGAATTCCGGCCTGCTATCAATATTAGCAGACTTTCCTGACCGCGGCTGGCCATCAGAGTCGTTCGGCTCTGAGGCGGAGTCAGCCTTTTGGCCCCCATCAGATTTCTCGTTGTCTGGGGCTTCATTAGCCGAAACGTCTGAGCCTCTCGGCTTTTTGGCGTTTCGGTCCCGGTGCTTTTCCTCCCCATCGCCACGGTCGCCTCGGCGAGACGTGGATGGCTTGAGGTGATTGCATCGGCGGGCTTCTTTTTGACTGCCCTTTATTTTCTCGGAGCGTCCCTCGTCTGAAACGTATATCATGATTTGATGATACGTGGAGACGACTCCTTGAATGCCGTGAATGAGGGGTCTCCCCATGATCACGTTGTATGCAGATGGAGCATCTACGACCAAAAATTCGGCCATGATATTCCTAGCTGCTCGGCCTTCGCCGATGGTGACAGGAAGTGTAATCTTCCCGTCAGGATACGAGGAAGAGCCGTTGAATCCAGACACCGGGTAGGGTGCGGGGGCCAGGTGCTCGGCTCCCATTCTCAGCTGGTCGAACGCTCCTCGGAAGAGGATGTTCGCCCCGCTACCGCCGTCGACGAGGGTCCGCCAGACGTTGCGGTTGGCGATGCCCAGAATGATTACTAGTGGGTCATCGTGGGGGTATACCACCCCCTCACAGTCTTCGGCTGTGAACAGGATGTTCGGCGCCGGTGACTGGGACTGCCGAAGCTCAGCCTGATGAATCTGATGGGTTAGACCCCTCAGTTGGCGTTTGGCTGTGCCTCGCGAGATTCCCCCGGAAATAACTAGGATGTCGAGGGACTCCTTGCCCTGAGGTCCCTTATCCTTCTTCCGAGCGAAGTTGAGGTCCTGCCGAGAATCTTTTTCAGCTTTTTTCTCCTCGCGCCTGTCCGCGAGGTATTGGCTCAGGTACCCCTTGCGGACCAGATCCTCAATCTGGTCCTTCAGCTGGACGCAGTCCTCGGTGCGATGTCCGGGTGAGTCATGGAACTCGCACCACTGGTCCTTTCCCCTCGTCTGATGCCAGGGAGGCAATGGACGAGGTTTTTTGAATCTCCCCTCGTCCTTCGTCGTGCTGAAAATCTTAGCACGGGGAAGGGAGAGTGGAGTGTATGAATCGTACCTTCCCGTGTAGGGAAAGTGTCTTTCCTTCTTCGGCTCGGCAGCAGAGGACGGTTCTGAGGCCTTAGCCTTCCCTTTCCTCTGCGCCGAGACTTCGGGCTGCTGCCCTTTCGGCTTCTCAATTCTCGGACGAGACTGAGACCTGGATCTGTTCCACTCCTCGGCTCGGATGAACCTATCCGATGCTTCCAAGGCTTCCTCCAGGGTCTGCGGGGGATGCATGACCATGAAGTCCAGGAACTTTCCAGCTTGGAGGCCGTTCCGTAGCGCGAACACGGCCAGGCCTTGATCCAGGCTTGTGATTCCGGATGACTCGTTGCTGAAGTGAGTCAGATAGTCGCGGAGGCTCTCGTCCTCCGCCTGCTGCAGACTCATTAGCTCTGCAGTGGTCTTCTCTCGGCGGTTGGCCGTAGAGAATTTGCTCTTGAACTTGTTGGAGAGGTCGTTCCAACCGGTTATGGAGCCTTCCTTGAGCCCTTTGGTGATCCAGGATTGGGCAACACCTTTGAGGGTCGTAGGAAAGTATTTACACCAGGTAGCCTCAGACCTCGGGTTCAGATACATGTGCCCCTCGTAAGAGGCAATGTGATCCTTAGGATCTGAGGTACCATCGTAAGTAATATGTGCCGGGATTTTGACCGTTGGCACATGCTCTTCCAGAATCCACTTCTGGAAGGGCGAGTTCGATGGAACCATGACCGCCTTCCCCTTGTACCCGGCCTCAGGGACCTCGCTCCCTCCTCTCTCAGAGGTGGAAGTGGTTTTCGTCCCCGGCTGAGACAAGGTTGGGTGGGGTCCGGTATCCTCTGGGAAGGTGAGGCGGCTATGCACACTCACCTCCCTCGAACCCAAGCGTTCGTGAACGCTTCGGCGGGCGAATTCCGGGTCCTTGGAGGGCCCCATGGAATTCTGAGCTTCAGAGTGGTCAGAGGGTTGAGGGTTCCTCCTCCTCTCCTTACTGGAGTTTCGGGTGTCCCCTCGCCACCTCTGGCCGAGCTGTCTATGTGGTGGAACTTGTCCACCATCATCCTGACCGATCCTCCTTTTCAGGTTTCTCGGCTGGTGATCATCAGGCATCTGGATTGGAGCCCCTTGAGCTTTAAGGAACTCCATGCAGATGGCCACTGCTCTGGCCACTTCCTCGGTGGAGGGTCCGGAGGGAGGAGTCTCCCTCGGATGTGACCTGGATTGCACGCTATGGCGCGGCGGGGAGTTCCTCGCACCTGAGCCACTCGGTCTCGGGGATGGCCCCGGCTGCCGAGTGTGGTGCGAGGTGTTCTCCTCCTGGAGGCTAGGACCTCTTGAGGCTTCCCTTTCCGGAGAAATGGGGGCCTCCGATTCGGAAGAGGCTTGCTCCGGGGAGGGATAAACCGGCTGGCGTTCCCTCACCGTAATCCGGCCTCCTCCCTTCTTAGCCTTCTTGGAACTCTTTCCACTCTTAGTCATGGCGACTGCCGGAGTGTTTGATGACTGACGCGAAATTTAGTAGCGTTCCCCACAGACGGCGCCAAATTGTTTCGGATGAAAACAATCGAATCTCGGAAGATCCTTTTATCTTGAGGGAACTTGGTCTCGGTCCGAACGACGCAGGAGCCGAGGGTTTCCTGCACAACAAATACACGTAAACTAGCCTCGGGGGGGACGCCGAGGAAGGCCCCTCCGATGCTTAAGTCAGTATATTCGAGAGAGAAAGCTGTGCAAGAGTTTAGTTGCTTGAGGCTTTATTGTCTTACCAAGAATTGACCAAATTGTTGGCTTTTATATCTTGGCTAATGAAGGAGGCGGATTGGGCCCGGAAGTCAGTTGGGCTGGGCCAAGCTGATTGGGCCGTTGACTGACCTTGACATGGCTTTGAGGATGTTGATTTTTGACTTTAGCACATTTGGAGAGTTGAACCTTAACCTTGGGCTTTTAATTGGATCATTCAGTGACCAGGCCCAATTGGACTAAATTGGACCCAAACAACTACTACTATTACTACACCACCATCAACTATAAATACATACATAAAATACTTGATAATTAATAATAAAAAAAACATAACATCCTTACATAATATCAACCAGCACCAGCTGGTGGTGGCAATGGCTGCTGAGCCAGTGGCGGCGCAACCATCATCGATATTGATTCGTTATTATTCTTCTGTGTGACCCGCTTACGCTTCTTCTTTTCGTAACTAATACCTCTCGCCTTAGATTGAGAATCCCTAACTTCCCTCAAGTAGAGCCGTACAGCACGGGCCCCAAACGGGTTCATTTCGGGCTTACCCCCGTTTTCTTCGTAAGCAGCTCTGAGCCGTCCGATCAAAGCGTCAAGCGATCCCCACGCTTGACGGAGCGGGCACGGGCAGGGGGCAGGTGGGTTAGGGTGACCGTAAAACGGACACATGTGATTATGCACCTTAGTTTTTCCGAACTGATCAAGGTAGCGTAGAAACTCCAATACGTGGGCCCCGCTACATCTGTTGAGCGCGAGAGGGGGCCGGTGGTTCTTTAGGTATTGTCCGAAGGTGGTCCAGTCTCTCCGTTTTTGGTTCTCGTATCGGCTACTACTTGGTGGTGGTGGAGTGGTAGGAATAGTTAGTGATGTAGAGATCGAGGAAGATGAACAAATGGTGATAGTAGGATTAGTAGAAGTAGTGTTAGTATTAGTAGGTGAAGAAGATGATGAAAGGAAGAATGATGTTGAGTTGTTATTATTGTTTGATGTGTGATGAGAGATTGAATGATCCATGTTGTTCTTTTTAGGGTTGTTGGTGTTTTTTTTTTTTTTTTTTAAAGGAGAAAAAGGGAGGTGTTATTATTTTGTTAAGGATGGAATAATAATTTAGGGATGAGAAATTGAGAAGGGGAGTGTGGGGTGTATAAATAATTGAGGGAGGAATTGAAGGATATAATGGGATGTATCATGTATGTGTGTATATGTGTGGTTGATTTCAAGAAGAAATGCAAGAAGTACAAGTTAAGAGAATTGGTGTTACTTGTTAGAGTAAGTGAAAATTGGTATAGTGAAAGGTTTGTCTCTTTGTGTTTGTGGGTTTAATTTCAAAGAGGTTTTACATTGGAGGAGGGGTTCAAGGGTTTCTTCTCTAAGTTTGGGACAAGGTGAAGTTGATGGTTTTACCAATTTACTCTTATTCTCATGGGGAAGGAGGAGGGGAAATCTAAGTAGAAATGTTACCTCGATATGCATTTACTTCTTGTAAAAATTTTGCACGTAATGTCTTGTTTGGGTGAAATATGACTGGTTGATGTTGAGACGGTTTTCTCTTAAGAACCTATCTCATAGGTGAATATACATATGATGCTTCTTTTTTCTAATTAATGTTGTTCTAGTTAGGAAGCTTTTGCACCATAGATTATGTGATTTTAAAAAGTTTTTATGTATTAACCAGAAATTTTACTTAGTTTAGAGACTACTATACCTGTCAAAGAGTAGATACAATAGCCTTAGAAAACGATTTTCTCATAAATTTAACTCCAATTAAGATTGGCTGAAATTCCAACATTAAATGGTTTTTTGTTTGTAATGTACACATAACACTAGATTGACTGAAATTCCAACATTTAGTGTTATATATAAATATATAGCTCATTTGAATTAGAATTAAAAATATATAGTAGGATTTGATTTTAAATATATAGCTCATCTTCTATATAGTGCTATTAATTAATTTCATAAATGAGTTTACTTACTTAAACACTTAATCAGAGTATCAATAACACATCAATAAATTGGGAAACATTTGAGACAATTTTCACATAAACCCAATTTAGTATGAATATTAGATTGACTGGAAATGCTAGATTTAGCGCTACTTTTTTTAATTACTAATGTGCATATTATTATGAAATTTTGAAAATATAGTGTATTACATACATACATAGGGCAAATAGATTCAAGGCATATTATAAGAAAAAGTATTTTATAAATTGTGTATTGTTCTCACAGTTTTCCAACATAACCTATCATTTTGTGTGTATGCGTGTGTCTTAAGCTCATTGCTCACCACCTCTCTTCCATTTGTTTAATCAAAAACAAAAAAAATCTCCGTAACACTTGATTTTTAATAATCTAGAGTTTCTTGTGACTGCATTGGAAATGTACTTATGAATGCTAAAAATATCGAAAACTACGAAGCTTTTGTCATTTCTATTTTCTATTAACAATCTAATTTAACCCATTATACACTTAAGACAACTTTCTAAGAATGGAAAATCTCATACTTCCTGTTTGGGTCCAATTTAGTCCAATTGGGCCTAGGCGTTAAATGATCCAATTAAAAGTCCAAGGTCAAGGTTCAACTCTCCAATTGTGCTAAAGTCAAAGATCAGCCCTCAAAGCAAGTCAATTGGGCTAAGGCCCAACTTCTCCATGTATGAAGAGGTATAAAAGCCATCAATATTACATCTTTACATGGATTCACATTCATTCACATATTCTCATAGATTCTCATACATTCTGATTCATTCTCATTAATTCAAGCAAAGCCTCAAGCAACAAATTCTCTTGCATAGTGTTCTCTTTCTACACATTGTACTGACTTTAGCATCGGAGGGGCCTTCCTCGGCAACACCCCCGAGGCTAGTTTACGTGTGTTTACTGTGCAGGAAACCTTCGGCCCAACATTACTTGGACCGAATCTAGTCTTCTCCGTTTCAGCGGACCTTCGGCAAGGTCCCATTATTTTCACCCGAAACACTTCCTAAATATAGAGGAAAAGATAGGTAATAGCACCTGAAAAACATGACCATTTAATTATTTGTTCATTACATAAAATGCTAAAATTTTGCTTAGTACGAAGAGAATTTTGAAGTTTTTATTTAAGAAATTTGTTATGTATATACGAAGTATTCACTGCATTTAGTCCACCGGCCCACCGTCACTGTTACCACTATGTCTCTACTGTTGGAACTCAATTCAACACCATTCAAATTAAAGTTAAAGATTTTCTGAAATATTAAATTGAATTTTAATGGTTAATTTAAACTTGTGAGACATAAAATTTTGTAGCTAAATAAGTTTTATACTTATTAAGTAATCTTGTATAGATGTTAGGGTAGTAAGAGGTTTTATAAAGCTCAAAGAATAATACAGTACTTGTATAATTTGCGGTGATTAATTATTTAATTTATGGGTCAAAAAACGAAAGTCATTGCAAGTTTTATGGTTGAATTTTTTAATCCTAAAAATCACGCCGTAATAAATAAGGCGTTGTTCTCTTTAACATGTAGAAAAATTCAGTTTGGATAGTAAAATTAGTAGTATTTGAGAACTAGTGAATAGGAAAAAAAATGGTTCTTAGTGAAAAGTTGGCTATAAAGTCTTGTTCTCATCAGATTATTTTCAGTTCAGCTCAATTCAGATCTAATAAGTTCAGTTCAGTTTATCTCCTAATTTCCTTCTGTCATAAAATATTAATTTCAGTTCAGTTCATTTCAACTCTAATCAGTTCAGTTCAGCTCAGCTCAATTCATTCCAGTCAATAAAAACAGACCCTTAGTATCATTTTTTTTATCAACAAATTAGTAGTTACAATCGATTTAATTTAATAAAATCGATTTAAGTTAATAAAATCAATCAGTAACAATCGATTTTATTCAATGGATTTCAGTTCAATGACATGATCACATGCCTAATCCCCCAAACATTGATAAAAGGAGGGTCCATTGAATTAAAGGGGGAAAACAAAACCTTGACTTCATATAGTTGGACCATAGCATGAAATACCAACATTTCATTTTCCATAATTAAACCTAGTTGCATTTGACAAGGACAAGAGTTTACCAGATTCATGCACTTACTTTTGATTTTTTTTAGATTTTAACACTAAATTTATTTTCTTCATTGTTTTGTGGAAATCAGAATCTTCATTTGCTAAGTAAAGCCTAGCTCATTGTTCCAAAAAAATAAATTAAAAAAAATTAAAAAAAATTAAAAAAAAAAAAGAGAGAAGCCTAGCTAAGGCCCAAAAAATATATGTACTGGGCTGGTCCGCCGGCTGTGAATGACCACCCAATGGACCGAAGTAAAGTCCAGCCGACTGTAGACCCATCATTGCACCACCGTTTGATGGTCTGTGGTGAATACATGAGCCTTTGTTGAGTAGTCATATCAATACTCATCGCAGCAGTGTATAGCGCATGCACCACAGATGCAAGCACGCGACATATATGCACCAATAACACGCGCCTCACAAGGCTCACATAGTGCGCGTAAAGCACGCAAAGTTGTTGGGAGACAGAAGAGAAGAACGATTAGTTACGAAGGCTAATAGCATCAAGTAACCATGAGTTGTGGAGAAGAGATATTACTTTTATCGTCAAGAGAGGCTAATCGTGTTGCAGATATTTACTCCCCAGAAATATGATTTGTATATTTGTAATAAATTTGAAATGCTGTTAAAGCTGAAAAAACACATTCCTCAGTCTCTTTAATGTCCAACAGTATTCTCATTCTGTTTTGCTGTGAGAAGCCTGTTAAAGTGCCGAGCAGTCTGACCCAAAAAACTAGATATAACCCCATACCTTAGTAATAAATGACAGTACAATGATCAAACTCGAGTCCAGCCCACTGCACCGTGCAGACCCTTCCATTGTGCTATGAATTTTCCGGTGTCACGGTGATAGATAGGCATATGACTGAGTTTATGGATCCACATCTCAAACTAAAAATCACTGGATGTGTAAAGTGAACGAAAACGAATTTGATATGGAGGTATGCAAGATTTGCTCAGTAATTGGGTGCCACCCTGTATAATGCATAGATCGTAACCTAAACAAGAAATCTGCTCTCCACAAGCATGCCTAAAAAGCCGTTGAATGCTTAAGCTTGTAATCTTTACATAATATATGTAAAGCAAACAGAACAATGCGTAGTGAACATCAAGATTCTATATTACACATATACACAGTAATCCTTAATCAAGATCAAGCTCATCACGACGGCTAATGAAACTTTGGTGAAATAATTACTGACAAACCCCTACCTGACTAGGAACTAATATGTACTAGACAAACAAAAAATTAATGACGGCATACTTGATTGAAAAGATTTACGATTAAAAGAATACCTGATCTACATGACGGACATAGATTTTCTAACGCAAATGGCCTAGCTCTGAAAATACAAAACAAAGAATATAGCAGTAGCATATGTTGTCTCACTTTTTCTTCTTGCCTGCAGCCCCTTCACGTTGAGTACGAAAATGACTTAGAAGCTGCTGAGCCTGCAAATCCATAAACAAAACCTTGCATTATACTTTCAACGATTCATGTAACTCAATGAGAACTATAATTCCTTGTAAGCACTTATAAGTTTCAAAAAGCGACAATTTAAAAACATCAATGCTGAGCTCTTTCTTTCATTCAAGTGACACAGGAAAGACAATACTTTAGTTAGAATACTTGGCACTTAGAATATCGATACAGCAATTTTGCGAATTTTGATTAATCTGCAACATTTAAATTCAAAATCTACTACCCACGTGCATTTTCCCCAGCACCCCAAAAAAAAAGAAAAAAAAAAAGAAAGACAGCAGCAGCAAAAGTATGAGAAGTTACAAAAGAGAAGAATATCACTTACTTTCTCCTTAGCTCTAGGGGTTCCCGACTGAGATAGAGCAACAAGTGGAGGAACAGCACCTTCTTGGAGTACCAAGTTGCAAAACTTGGGACTATTAAGACACAATTGCAACAGCACGGAAGCAGCATTTTCCTTTCCTCTTTGTGACCCTGACTCGACAATCTCGACAATCAACGGTATACCACCTTCTTTAGCAATTGCCATACACCCTTCAGAGATTGTGGATAGATTTGCGAGAAGGGCTACAGATTTGTCAACCATTCCTGTGGGAGGGTCTAAAAGCTCAATAAGATGCTTCACTGCTCCAGCTTGAACTATTCGAGCTTTATTTTCATGACAGATGGATAGATTAAACAAGGCAGTTGCAGCATCCTTTTTCCCTCTGACGGTCCCCCTAGCAAGAAGATCGACCAGCACTTTGCTTGCCCCTGAGCGCCCAATCTTTGACTTATAATCTTCAAGAAGAGAGAGACTGAAAAGAGCTGCAGCTGAGTTTTCTTTAGCTGTATCAGTTCCTGTCTTAAGAACATGTATCAATGGTTCAATTACTCCTGCTTCTGCGATCCTTGCTTTGATTTCTTCATTAAGTGAAAGGTTTAGAAGGGCAGTCACAGCATGCTCTTGGGTTATCTTTACATCAGAGTGTAAAAGTGAGATTAAAGGGCCAATGACCCCACACTTCCCAGCAATGATGCGATTATCCATGTTGTGCTTAGCAAGAAGTCGCAGCTCGGCTGCAGCTGCAGTTTGCAGCGCATGGGATGGACTTTTTAGTTTCTCTACCAATTCATCAACATGGGATGGTGTAGTTGTTTCATCATGTCCTGAGTCAGAGAATGAAAGTGAGTTAACTCTGGAATAGTTATTGCTCCCATTCTCAGAACTTGTTTTTGCACTTTGAGATCCTCTCCCTGATAAAGAATTACATGTAGAACGCTCTGACGTGAACTCGCCTACATTTTCATGTCTGTCAGATATCCTTGATATTTCAGTTGTTGATGAAGGCATATAGTCACAGCTGGAAAAAGCACTTGTTGCAGAGTGGGTCCTACTATGAGCATATGAGTGTTCAGGGGAACGGTTGTTGGACTTCTTCGCTTCCAAACCTTGGCACATGCTGGAGCTCACCTCATCAGATACAGAAGGATCATCGATATTTAGCCTTCCAACTGCATCTCCAATCTCTAAGGAGGACCTAGACATAGAGTCACTGCTATGAACTGAGCAACGGAAACTATCAGTACGGATTACATCTTGAGCACTGGAGCTGTCATCGGCATCAGTGCTGTCAGAGCTATTTGGAGGCTTCAGATTATTTTCCTGAAACCAATTTGCTACCAGTGCCTTGACAGTGTAATTTGGTATGATATTCGTGTGTGAAAGATATTGGCGGGTTTTGGGGCAAGTATTTAGCCCATGATCAAGCCATCTTTGGATGGACGACCTCTCAAATGTTTGTCCAGAAGCTACAATGACTGGATCTAACATAAAATCTAATGACAACGGGCAGCGGAAGTATGAAGGGATAGGAACTCCATTTATTGTTCCAGAGCATCCGTTTGTTAGCATATAGTCACGAATAAGAGCCAGGAGATCCACAATTTGGTTGGTCTGATCCACTTTTTCTGTGCACTTGTTCGCATAAACTTTCACCCTTTCCTTTTCAACAGCAATACTCTCTTTAAGTAATTCCTGATTTGATGCTAGGCTCAGAGACTCCACGATTTCTGCCAAGTGTTCACTACAAGAAATCAGGCTATCGTTTTTACTTTTTAGAGCTTGTTCAATGTGTACTGAGATCCGCTCAGGCTGCCAGCTTTGAAGTTCCTGGACACAATGCTAAAAAGTCCTACAGAAGTTAGAGACTAGCCAAGAGCTTGAAAGTAGAATTAAATAATAAGATAAGGGAATATCTCAAGCTACCATTATCTCGGTACATACTTGCACACCAGCGAAACTAGATGAAGACGATGATGTCCGTAATAACCTACACAATATACCACATATCTCAAGGGAAGAACTCCTGATTCTTTTCATCAATTGCTCACTTTGTGAAACCTGACAGTTAAAATTGGTTATGAGATATTAAGGTATATCCAAAAGATGAAGAATGTCTACATCTAGCACATATCAAATATACACCCTGGAAAAAAAAAAAAAACAAAACAAAACAAAAAAAAACAAAAAAACACTAGAGCAGCATAAAAGGACAGAGAGCCACCCTTTATAACGTAAAGACAAACTGATTACAAAATACAGTAGCCCACAAACAACAGAAATATGCAGTTTATAATAAAAAGTTCAAGTACACAAAAAAGGACATGTGATGAGAAACAAGTAACAAAAGCCTATATTCTGGAGAAATGAAGCCAACAAGGGAAATAACTACAGCCTAAATCATTACCATTTGGAACACCACTACAGTACCTATTGCAAAGATAGCAGCACCATTAGCATATCTTAACTATAATGCACTGAAAATCTATAGATGGTCACATTTTCTGGAAACTCCCGAAACTTGAAGAAACTCAGGGGAACTCTTCCTTTATACATCAGTAACTTTCCTTCCTACGGATGTTGAAAGTCCAAAAAATGATTTCTTTGTAACACCCAGTGAAAAACAAATGCAAACTAACAATTACTAGCAAGTAATATTGTTCATAAAACACGAAACTTCATATTTCTAAGCAAGATAATTGATCTATGGTTTAACATTCTTGTTTTTTCTAATTTTCAATGAAAACTGCATCTTCATGATTCTCGGTTGGGGAAAAGGGGGGGGGGTATTTCTAAGCAAGATGATTGATTTATGGTTAAGGTTTCATGTTTTTCTAATTTTCAATGAAAACTTCATTTTCATGTCTTTTTTTTTTTTTTTTTTTTTTGGAGGGAGGGGGGTGGGTGGGGGTGGTAGCAGAAGGAATTGATAGACTCACAGTTAAAAGTTTACTCATTTTCGGCGACCATCGTTCCATAAATTCTCTGGCAGAATTGATGTAAGCATCCAAATCTTCACACTCCTTCCATAAATTTCCTTCTGAAGCTATCTTGTCATCATCATTAATTTCATCAAGGACAGGTTTCAAATGTTTCAGCATAATAGCCAAACTCTCAAAATCGTTTTGAGTAGGCATAGCCTTTGATGTCTGACATGACATCAAATGAATGAATCGAGATATACTGTTGTTCAGACATCTCATATATGTCGTCTCCATTTCACCTGCATCAATACAAGAAATGATACAGTTAGAATACATAAAAGCCATTTAAAAGTACCAGTGACCATATTTTTTATGAACAGAAATCTAATTCTCAACCTTACAAACGTGATTATGATGAAGAGGTAACTAGACATATTGATATGCTAATTAATCATTAGCTAAAGACATCTTTCAACACAATAGAATTCTTCAATTCTCTATTGTTAAAAAATAGAAGGGCACTTACCCTACAAGTCAGTTTGGAAAGCATTCTATTTAATGCATAGAGCTCCAAGCCAAAAAAGGACATACAAAGGAAAGGCTCAATCTAATAAAGTTAAGAACATAAACTTTGACACCAATGACAAACAGACTAGATTCAGCAGAGAATCCAGTTTCTTCAGCTCAGCAGGAAGAAGGGAGACAGAATTTCATATTGCTTCTGAACTGTGAGGCTCTAACAGAAATGACATTCAGATGGAACTTCCGTGCCCAAAAGATAGATCATAGAAAGCTCCTTGAGACAGCAATCTAACCCAACATACATGCCATCTCAATACACAAGAATAAATCGTACATCTAAAGTAAGCTTAATCAGACCTAGCTCATAAGCTTCGAGCACTTGATCATAACAGCATTCAACTAATAATTACAAGTTTTCCTTCATCAATTTGACATTCACTAACCACACATATCTCAGCCCGATAGGTACAAAAGAATGAAAAAAACATTAAAGCAGGAAAAGAGAAAAATGAAAGAAACAGAAAATTTATCTCCAAATCTCTTATTAAAGTAAAGTTTTAGTCTGCAAGGCAATCATGTAAAACTAGTCTATGACAACTTTTCCTGTAGCCCTGCTTATGTCCCTTGAGTTAGTGTGGGGTAATGGTCTAAAAGGTTAGAACATGCGCTTTAATAGATGTAAATGACCTTACAATTAAAAAGCTAAATTATGTTTTGCACCTTTATGACCATAAAGTTCACTGTATTCTTGTACGAATCCATAAAGTTCAGTAACAATAATTCTTTTCCATTGAGCTATACAAGAAGCCACTTGGAATATTTATCCCAAACGTGGTTATATAAGGCATTCAGACACTTCAAACAGAAGAAAGGTGATACGAATCCCAAAAACAGCTGGCTCCCAGCCTTGAAGCCACTCCCGTCAACATTGTTCCCAACTCACGCTAGTATGTAAATAACAAATCAATTTCAAATATCCAGTGGGAGGTGTATAGAATAATGAAGGTTCAGGTTCAACTGCCCACCCCTCCCTCCTTTAGGGTCAATCAGCAACAAGAGTATTAAACCTAAGAATAAAAGAGAAGTGTCATTTGACCCCTATTTAGATAAACCACATATTCTGTGCATATTAAAAGATTCAAAAAAAAAAGGCAATAGGACAAATTGGTGGTCATATCTCTAATAATTCAGCATTTTTACTAAACTGATGTGTAACATCTTACCTACATCAATTCGAAAAGCATAAGCCTCAATCAAAGTGTAACCAACAACTCATCCATCCAGGATCAAACATTTATACAATGTAGTACAACTTAAATCAAATCTACATTCTACTTTATAGCCAAAACAAGCAACGCGATTCGCTCAAACAGAAAGGTAAGCCCTTTCCCAAATAGATAATGATTACAATTGCCCGAAACTAACGGTCCAATTCATCAAAAACACCTGTTACTAACCTTAACCATCTAGGAAATCAGCTAGGTTCAGAACAAGAGTTCTTTCTTCACTTGAGATAACAAAATTAGATGATTTAAGAGCATTTCTCATCAAATAAGACTTCATAATCCCAAATTCCTCTCGAACAACACAATAAAAGCTACATAATTAGGAATAAATTGACACCAAACACATGCAACACCTATTTCCTTAGCACAAACATCATCAAGTTTCAATCTTTTTGAGATTCCCAGCTGTAAAACACCAAGAACAAGGAAAGTACAAAACCCATTCAAATTCTAATCTAAACAAATTTAAGTTACAACATTCTTAACAACCCATATTACATCAATGGCAAAATACCCATTAATAATTACAATAATGCAATCCTAAAATCATGAAATTATTTACAAAAAATTGAACAAAATATAAAACCCAGAAGAAAAAAATTGGACAGGAAAAAGAGGGGAAGGTCAAATGCAAGAAATGGTTGTACCTGATGCAGGGGAAGCTAGTAGGTGAAGGCATTAACAGACCCAGAAATGGTAAGTTCTGTTAGCATGAAATAACAAAATTTGTTGAGTCTGAAATTATACATAAAAAAAAAATAATAATAAATAAAATTATATACTTAGCAATTTTCCCTAAAAAAATTCCTATTTCTGGAAAACCCTCTCATATGTACCTTGTTTACAACGCTTTCATGGTAATCAGAAAATTGTTAAGAGGGGTGAGTGTATTTTTGTGTTTTTTGATTAGAGAAGTTGGAAGAAGGCCTTTCTTCTTTTGTTTTTCTGTTTTAGGGCAAATATACAGATTGGCCCACATTGTATTGGACATGACACATGAGTGAATATTTTTGTATACTTTATCTATTTTTTAATATTGCACAATTTTTACATTATTACTCCTTCCGTTTCAAAATAAATGCATTCGCATCAATTTGATATCTATACCATATACATGCATGCAACACTTTGATCAATAAAAATAATTGTTTTTTTGGTCGTTCTAATGTATAATTTTTGAATTAAGTGTTTATAGGTTTTATTTATACATATTGATGATTACAAATATAATTGGTCAAAAAAAAAAAAAAAAAATACCCTCTTTTAAGTTAGATGGCAATTTTAAGAGAAAGAAATGCACCATATTTCATGGGTATAATACGAAGTAATTTTCATTAAATAAAAATTTATACGAGTATAAGTGTTAATTTTGACCACAATTATTTAATATGTACTCTTAAGATAGGAAAATAGATGTCATCACTTTAATTGTTTGTTACTGTTTTTTTTTTCACATGATTATTGGGTAATTAGAGTGATAGTGTACGGAGTATTATTTAGACATCAAGATTAATATAAATGGGTCATTCATTTTTCCAAATCAAATTTCGATAACAATAGAAAAAAAAAATTTGCATTCAACCTAGCATAGTGTCATTCTGCATTTAATAACCTACTAAAAATAGGTAGAACTATACTTCATTCTAACAATTTATATTAATTCCGGTGATTAATTTATTTGTCCACAATAATGTTTTAAACTACATTTTATTATTTGGCCTATTATACCTATATGTATACCAACAACTTTAGATAGTTGGAATTCATTCCTAACATAATAATGGTCACCAATTCTAAGTAAATTTTAAATAAAATAAGAGGAAGCATAACTATATGATTAACTAGGTTAGCAATTAGCCAATTATAAGGCTTTATCACCAAGTGATATTATTATTATCTTATCCACAAAATTGTCACCATATTATCCGGTTGTCTTTCCTTTATTTGGTCAATTGCTTAACAATTCCGCTTATTTTTCATTTACAGATAATTAGAAGTAGTTGTCTTTCACATAATTATTGTCTGGACTTTTGTTTTAAATCAAATAAACAAATAAATAATAATTATTCTCTCATCTTTTTTGCTAATAAAATGCTACAAGACAAAATATATGCATCCTTAGGAATGACATTCCACTCTTGATATGACTCCATAAGAGTTAAAGTAATCCAAAAAATGCAAAATTTGTGCCTGGATTTTTTTGTTGTATTCCATTATATTTACAACTAATATGAGTACCTAAACAATAATATATACGTATAAATAATAAATATCAGATTGATAAAACGAATATATTCTGTATTTTTACTGGATTAGAAACTCATAACTTGAAAAGAGAAAAGTTATATTGTCTTTTAAATAAGTAGTAATTTTGTCAAAGTCAATCTATCATTTGATGATATTTGAAAAGCTGATAGTAAAAGTTAAGACAATACTATTATTAAACGGAGGTTGCACCATCTAACAATCTAACATAGATTAAATATGACGATATTTGTTTGTTTGTTATTGATTTCGAATTTATAAGTAGACAATATTATATCACCAAGTTAAATGAGGTTGTGCCTTTATATTCCTAATGAGTCTATGACAGGCTTGCAATGATTTTTGGCTTCAAAAATATTAAGATCCCATTTTCATATAATAATCAAAGTGGGTTCATGGTTGGAGCTTGGTAAGCATGTAGGTACCACATACATTTCTGTATGTAGGTCCAAAAGTTTTTTTTTTAATTTTTTTTAATTTTTTTATTTAAAAAAAAAATTTAAGATAAAATAAAGATTGAATTATATTTAACATTTGTTATGGACTACTTATGGCAATAGTGAAAAATTGCACACCACAATGATGAAATTGGGTTGATGATAGTAGGGGTGTACACCGATCCAAAACCGGACCGGACCTGGACCGGACCTGTTTGGACCGGGGACCTGAATTGGGTAATTATGAGGACCGGGGACCGGACCTGAATTAACAGGTCCGGTTCCGGGCAAGACCTGAAAAATCAGGTCCGGTCCGGGTTTGGACCTGAATGGACCTGTTTTGTGTCTTTTTCGTTTTTTTTTTAATACAAAACCTGTTGGACCTGCATATGGACCTGCATATGGACCTGTTTTGTGATTTTTAGACCTGTTGCATAATTTAATAATTACATACAAACCAAAATTATCAATTACAAAACTACATAAAGTCTATAAAGTCCCGATTCTCAAACACCAAAAATACAAATGAGTCCACCGAAAATACAAATAAGTCCACGAAAACTCAGTTTCAATTTTTCAGAGTTTGGTTTTCTTTTTTTTTTTTTTTTTTTTTTTAATTACGATTTTCCCGGTTTTCAGGTCCGGACCTGAAAACCCCGGGTTTGGACCGGGTCCGGACCGGGACCGGGAACCTGGATTTTTAAGAATCGGGACCGGACCTGAATCAACAGGTCCGGGTCAGGTCCGGTCCGGTTCAGGTCGGTTCAGGTCCGGTTTCAGGTCCGGGCCAATTTTTGTACACCCCTAGATGATAGTATATGAAAAAATCATTATTGCTTTTTATAAGTACAATAATTGGAATCCACTACTAAACCAAACCCTTGGAAAATGTAAGTAGTGCTATATATTTTTAAAACAATTATCTCTACATTTGATGAACAATCACTTACAATTAATTTAATCTAACATGATTAGTTGAGTTAGTTGTGCTTTGACTTCTTATTACACAATTGTATGTAACTCTATATATACAATTCATTATGTCACCCTTGTACTTGTTTTTAATTAGAGCATTAAGTTTTATCTCGCAATAGGTAATTATTTATATAATATAAAGTACTACCTCCGTTAATTATTATGTGCAACAAAGGAATATTTTATGTCTCACAAATAATACCCCCTTGTTGCACATAATAATTAACGAAGGTAGTGTTATATTTGATTTAGGAATGCATGGGAGTGGATAACTATGGGCCTATTCTCTTCAGCTTAATTTCGGTTCAATTTAGTTCTTTTCTTTTCTTCTCTCATAAACAATTTAGTTCGGTTTAGTTTAGTTTAGTTCACTTCAGCTCCAATCAGTTCAGTTCAGTTTAGTTCAGCTCGGCTCATTTCAGTAAATCAAAACAGGCCCTATATCGATTGTATACAAATGCAAATATATTTACTGTATTTGTTTTTTCTACTTTGACTATTTTTACGACTTAAAAAATTGGAGTACTATTAGAAAAAAAAAAGGGGCATTTTGAACCACATCTTTGTATGTATGACTAAGTAGTGGATATCGTAAAATTAGAAAGATTAAGGGTATCAAAAAAAGATGGGGGCCTGCTTCAAAAAAAAAAAAAAAAAAAGATGGGGGGCCATGATAAATATTGACTGCCGTTTACGCCATCCTGCCTCCAAAAGGGGAGCTCCAATAAATGAAAGGGGTGCACCTCCCATGTGGAGTTTCTTGGAGAAAAGATATTGTCCTTCTCAACATTTTGATCTTCTATTCAAATATACTAGTATAATACTATAAAGTAGATCTTGTGTATATATATACTACAATTGTATTTTAAGATAAAGACAAATAATGATATAAATTGTAGCTATGTGTTCATTCTAGGGAAGATTTGTATGGAGTATTTTAAAAGCATCAATATGCAAGAATAAATCCCATTAGTTGTACTTTGAAATGAGGATTTACATATCTTTTCCGTTCACTGTTAAAAGGTTTATGTTACTAACTCGTATGAAACAGGTTAACTAGTGAAGATTTTAATATGATATGTCAAACTCTTTTTCTTATCCACAAAAAAAATTTGTATACCATGTCTTACATAATTTTAAAGGTTTACAGGTTATCGAGATGATGATGAATTGATGCATATTATGGCAATTTCTATGAGCAAAGCTTCCTTTTTGAGACCTCATCACTTGAATCTCTAGAAAAAGACTGAGTTTTCTAAATTTCTTTGGGTTCTTAATGTTTTCTTAAGCTCATTTATTGAAGCTAAGTCATTCATTACTAGTGAAAGAAATGTCATCCACATAAACCAGAAGAAGGGAGCCTTTGCCTTCGACCTCCCTTCACCCCTCCCTCTTGTCGAGTGGTGCACTTGCATAGTTGCATGGGGGTATATGATGCAATTGTGAAGGCAAACTAATCACTGCCGGATGAATTTTGTATCCTTGTGAAGAAACTTGGTTCTCGTTAAAAGATTGACGTAAATATAAGTAGTGTATGAAGTTTATGGGATATTTCTCCTATCTACTTACAGTTTATGATAAAACCTCATTTGACTTGTATGTGGGTAGACTCTCTTCTTGTAAGCTTTTGGCTAAGACTCAACAACTATGACATAAACTATGTGACTAACATAATTGATCATTGCAGTTAAAATTATAGGCGTTGCAAAGATAATAGTTCACACGAATAATTTGTACGTGCGTAAATTTATTATTTCAAAATTAGTATTTGTATATTCTATTTTAATTTTTAAGACTAACAAATCACTTGTGATTCAACATATTTCATATGGACTTGTATAGTTGTAGTTGATGAAAAGCCCAATGCTCACTAGCCCAACACACACATGTAAAATTTTGAAAATTATACCCTACATCCTAGTGTAGGATGGTCTACCTACACCCCCTGATGCTACGCCATTTTGTAGCTTGCGGGGAGTACTCACGAGCTAATTCATGCTTCAATTCTTTCCTTTTTTTTATTTATTTTTTTAATTCCTTGTTTCTTATTATTCAAGCTATGTATATAAATGATTTTAAACCCAATATTTTCTCTCTCCTCAATTGATCAATTTCCATTTTTCTACCTACATTCTCTCTAGTTAATTCATCTTCTTCATTTGATTTTATACTAATTTTGCCGTTTATTTTTCCTACGATTTTGATAATTGTTGTTGATCGTCAATGGCTGATTCTTCCTCTGCTAATTTCGATCGTGATTACGAAAGTGTGTTTCCGTCTTCTAGAGTTCGATTGATTGATTCGTTTGTTCATCAACAATGTGAGTAATTACAATCATAATTTTGTAATTTTTATCATCAATACATTGTTGTGTTATAATGCTCTGTTTATTTCAACTTAATTTATGTATTATTATTCTTTTCGTTGCTTCAATTTTCAAAATTTGATTATGATTATGATGAACGTTTTTGGATTGTTCATACTTTGTTATGAATATTTCGCTGCTTCAATTTATTTCATTGCTCTATGTTTGAAAATTGCGTGATTTTGTTTTTATGCTTTTATTTTTTTTTTTGGATCATTTTTATATTTAAAATTAATCAATTATGTGTTATCATTTGTACTTCTTAATTTTTTTATGTCATATATGATTATTTGTTTTTACCATTTTTTCTTGGATAATATTATGTGTCAAAATTTTCCATATTGATCATGTGCAATTTTGCTATTGAACATTGTATTTGTTAATTATTGTTCATTTTTGAAACATGTTATGTTCATTTATAATTGTACATTAAAACTTTGTGCAATGAGAAAAAAAACTGATATTTCATATCTTGCTAAGGTTTTGATCTTATCTGTTTATTTAAGTGTTTGAAATTGAACATTTATATATTTTAATATGATCATTTAACTTTTATTTGAAGGCGAAGGATTTAGTGTTTAAAGGATTTAATATGATCATTTTTTGAAACTTGTTATGTTCATTTATAATTGTATATTAAAACTTTGTGCAGTGGGAAAAAAAGCTGATATTTCATATCTTGCTAAAGTTTTGTTTTTCTTATCTGTTTATTTAAGTGTTTGTAATTGAACATTTATATATTTTAATATGATCATTTAATTTGTTTTGCAGTCGAAGGATTTAAATATTCCTATAAATAAAAGTGTTGCTGGTGTTTCTGCTGCTCAAGCTCAATGTAATGTTCCTATAAATAAAGGTGGTGCTGGTGTTAAAAATGATGCTCAAGTTAATCCAAGAGTACTAATGCGTCTACAAAATCTCAAACTAGATATTTTGTTCCACCCGTAGTTCTTGGCATTGTTCCAACTTCAACTCAAGATTGTTCAAACTTCAATCTAGAAATGTTTAAACCCCATTCCAGAAATGTTCAATCGACAAATGTTTAAGTTATTCCTCCCACGGTTCCAATAAATGATCAAGGTGCTCTTGTTCAAAGTTCTTCAAGTGTTAAAGACATAAGAATTTGTTTCTATATAGTACCTTTTTTAGTATATTGTTTTTTTTAAAATTCAACATATGTAAATGATTATTTATCAATTTGAAAATGAACAAAAGTAAAGAACCAACAACCAATTCATAAAACCTAAAAATTATATATATTTTTTCATACAAATAAAGATTAAAATGAAATATCAATTACAATAATTTTTTTAACAAATAATATCTATAAGTCTATTTTCCTCCAAAAAAAAATCATCTATAAAACTATATACTTCCTCCGTTTTCTTTTACTTGCAACACACCTTTTAGGCACGCAATTTTAGGAGATGATTAGTGAGGGTAAACGAGCTATTTTATCAATATAATTTTTACACGAAGATTAGAATAGGGTTAAGTATCATTTGTAAAAATTATAATGAATAATTTATCCGTTTACATTATATAAACCCGACCTCAAAACACGTGCCACAAGGCTGTGTTGCAAGTAAAAAGAAATGGAGGAAGTTTAAGATATGATCATATACACATTCATTAATGAACATATACACTTTCATAAATGAACATATAACATGTACTATTCATTTGCAAACTTCCTTGCTTATCTTCGATTTAACCTATATTTAGTGTTTTTCTTCAAATAGCATCAATTCCGCATCCTTGCTTCCTAATTTGGTTCACCTGTTGAACAAAATGAATTAACAAATGTTAATTATTATATACACTACTTTATAAATGAACAATATATCTTACATTATTGAACATTTATCACTTTTACACTATTTGGTTTCAAATCACAAATCTAACTCTCATTAAGTTTAGTAGTGAATGTTTCTATATGCTTCATAATTTATACTCCGCAGTTTGTATAATCAGCGTTGTTAAGCCATTTTATCTTCTCCAAAACAACTACGTATTCTTCAATTCCATGTGCAAATTTATATCAAATGTGTAACTTTGGACATCACTACAATATAGCTAGATTGGTTGTAAGATATTAGTTTTAATGCATACAAATGAACATTCTCAATATTATACATGAGGATAATGTATAAAAGAAATGAACATTCGTTATTTAGGCATATAAATATATATGTAAACTGAAATGAACCAATATTAACATATATTTTAAAATGAACATTACTTTATATGTAAATGAACATTATGAATTTCATAAATGATCAAAAGATTTGATAGAATAAATAAGTCAGTTTCTCAACTCAAATGAATGATTATTTATGCATTTCATAAATGTGCATAATATATCATAAAAATGAACATTATTTATTTAGGCATATAAAGTCAAATATAAACTCAAATAAATTCAAATATACAAATGAACATTTATAATTCTATATATGTTCATATATTAACTCGGAATCGTAGAAATGTTAACATCTATACCATAAGACTTTTTAATATCTTTTAAAAGTTCTAGATCTACAACTTGAGACTTTTGTTCGTTGTTTTTTTTTAAAAAAAAATTTCTACTCTTGTTTAAATAGGTTTTTGAAATAATACTTACGTTTCTTCAGACTATGCCTTGTTATGTTCAACGAACATGATTCTTCTCTGAATCATCATTCTCTTTATCTCTCTAATTCGAAATATATTTTTCGGTTCTGTAAAAAATAAAAAAACACAAAACATAGTAGATTTTAATGATTTTTGCATAAAATAGTTCTAATCAAGTTAGATTATGTTTCTGAACATGTAATTTCAAAATGAAATACGTAGTAGAAAAAATAGGTTCATACAAAAAAAATTAGTAAAATTACTTACTCTTTCTGTGAATGTTGTTGCGATTGTTGAATTTCTTCGCAAATGTAGACATTTGAAGGAATTTAGCAATATTTTGAAGCAATTTCGTAGTATTTTGAAGCAATTTTGTAGTATTTTGAAGCAATTTTGGTTCATATTTTCTAGTTTTGATGAGAGAGAAAGTCTAGAGAAATGAAGAAGAAGGTTTTAGAGAGAATGGTAGGTAGTTACAGTAGGTTAGTGGGTTATGGGATGTGGGTAACATGATAAACGCATCGTTTAGAGGGGGGTGTAGGTATCCCTACCTACACTAGGGTCTAGTGTATACCAATTAGTAAAATTTGGGACTTCTAGGATGAAAAAAAAAAACCCAATTAACTCTTCTTTCTCCTGAAAATGGCTTAAACACAATTTTATTTTATTACCGTTGCGTTGATTTGCTGCTCTTTCTCTCTCCTCCGACCCGCGTTTTTGAGCAGCTGGGGTTCGTTGTATTTCGAGATTTCAGCTCTCTTAGATTTCATATCATAAACGTAAGTTATTCTGATATGTTACTTTTAATTTTTAGTTTTTAATTTTTTATGTTTAATTAGATGCTGTGAAATTGATTGGGTTTGGATTTATGGAGGTTGAATTATTAAGTTTGCTTGATTGATGTAGCAAAATTCAACGTTACTTCTTATCTTGGGTCTATTTTGTTGATTGATTTATATGATTGAGGGTTCGTTGATTGAATTGGGTTTTGGGTTTAGGGTTCTAATTTCTAATATTATTTTAATTTGGGATACTTGATTTGTTTATTGATTTGGGTTTTCCACTAATCGAATTGGGTATTACACAAAGTTGATATATTTTTTAATTAGGGGTTTTACACGAAGTTGATTCATTTATCGAATTATAGTATATATATATATATATATATATATATATATATATATATATATATATAGCCCGAGGGCGGGGGTGAGAATCGATTCCAGGATCTCCTAGAAACGGGAGGGAAGCTCTAACCACTTGAGCTATCCCTCACTCTCGAATTATAGTATATTTGTTTATTAAGTTGTTTGGGGACTTTACTTTGTCTCACACTCTCACTTATTAATTGAGGTGCCATTGATTTAAGCTTGAATTGGCATTGCTTGGTTATGGCATTAGCCTACTATATCTTTATCCATTCTCTGCTTTTAATGATAGAAAATAGAAATTCCTCGTTTTCGAGGGTCAGCATTAGGATTACTCTTCATATAGAGATACTTAGCTCATAACTTGACTTATAACTGTGCATTTCCAGAATGTTGTATATCAAAATCACCTTTTTGAAAATTGAAATTCGCATAAATGTTTTACTTTATCTTAATTAAGCTGTGAGATACTGGGTGGAACGCATTTGAAGATTAACTAATAATCCTAACATAAATTTGGGCTCTCTTTGGGTCTTGGGAGCAATACAGTGAAAATTTTCATTCTAGTGTTGATGGTTTATTTAACTGTCAGTATAGAGATAGACTGTATAGTCAATTTAGGGTTCTCCCGAGGTGGATTTTTGAACTATTGGTTATGTGCACTGATTTGTGAAAGATTAAAACGAGTGATCTTGTTGCTATATTTTGCTAGTCAGATTCTTAAGCAAAAAGACTTTAACGTAATTTTTCAATCCTATTTTGATATTTGATTCTCCTTAATTGCAAATGTGTTGCAGGCTTTGGTTTATAATATAAGCCTTTAATGTCAGAACAAAACCATGAAAACGGACCTGGGCCAAGTGGCTGTTCTCCTGCCGTTGCTCAGGGACAGGCCTGGAAGGAGGTTTTGGAGAATTCGAACCAAGAGGAGAAATGGGTGGAGAGGGATTTTCTGCAGTTGAGAAACAGTGATGGTGGTACGTCAAAACGAGAAGCTCAGGAGGATGTGAAAAGAGAGGGAGATGGCTGGAAGAAGCCTAAGCTTGAGACACAGACACTTGACCTGTCTCTAGCTCTGCCTGATGTTTCTCTTTCGCTATCTGCATCAAATGCCGCACCACCAAATTGTGATGCTGTTGTGCGTCCTAAGCCATGTAGGAGTGTGCAGTCTTTGGCACTTTCAGATAATAATAACAATAACAATAATAATACTCAAGTAACATGCTCTGATGATTTTACAGCGGCTTCGTTATCGTACTCTTACTCTCACCCATTTTCACATAACCCTAGTTGCTCGTTAACTCAGAATTCTACTGAATATTATGAGAATTCGGTTGGTAGTCGTAGGAGGGATTGGAATTGCGGTGAAGGAACCAATGGATCTGTTCATAGTCGTTTTAAGCCAATTGGAGATGGGGTCTCTTTATCAAATCATGGTAGTAGTGTAGCTTATACTATGTTGAACAGATCCCGTACCTTTAATAAAGATCCAGGTAACAGTCTGTATAGGGCGGCTGCCTCGGATACCAGTTCTTTCTTTCCCTCAGAATTGCCTGCCAAGCCAAGAACTGATTTGTGCTCTGTTGACTCCATGAGTAAATCTTTGGACCAGGGGCTGAATAATTTGGAGGATATGAGAGGACACAAGCTTTCCAGAGGAGAAAGGATTGTTCGTGATGTCATTACGGAACATACAACTGTTATGTCACAATTATCCCGTGAGCTTCCTGCTGAAGCTATTGAATCAGCTAAGGAGTACTTGAACTGTCTAATGGCATCACCTGAGAGAAAAGATGAGTTAGCTTATCTGCAAAATTTGCTCGAAAAAAGGTCAGACCTTACAATGGAGACTCTTTCTAAGTCTGACAGACTACAATTGGAGATTCTGGTTGCAGTAAAATTTGGGCTTAATGAATTTGTTTCAGGGAAAGCACGTCTCCCAACCAGTGAATTGGCTGAAATTTTCTTCTTCCAGAGATGTAGAAATATAATCTGTAAATCTTCTTTGCCTGTGGATGACTGTGACTGTAAGGTTTGCTCAACAAAGAAGGGATTTTGCAGCCAGTGTATGTGTTCTGTTTGTTATAACTATGATTGTGCCAACAATACCTGTAGTTGGGTTGGATGTGATGCTTGCTCTCATTGGTGTCATGCTTCCTGTGGTGCTGAGAATAATCTAATAAGACCTGGCCCTAGCTTGAAGAGGTCCTCTGGCAAAACTGAGATGCAGTTCTATTGTCTTGGATGTGGTCATGCTTCAGAAATGTTTGGATTTGTCAAAGATGTGTTTATCTTCTGTGCTAAAGATTGGGGTATACAAACACTGATTAAGGAGCTTGATTGTGTTAGAAGAATCTTTAAAGGAAGTGAGGATCTAAAAGGCAAAGAGCTATATCTTAAAGCTGCTGAATTGCTCACAAGGCTTGAAAGAAGGGCTATATCTCCGTCAGATGCCTGCCATGTCATTATTCACTTCTTTACTACCAAGTCTGGTAAATGTCTTAACAAATTTCTGTTTTAAAACTAACTTGTTTTATTCTGTTTACCCTTTGTTTTCATCAATGTCTTCTGTTTTTCCCATTCTTAATTTGTATTTAAGATGGCATACTTGTTAGTCTCCTGCTTACCAAGTTCTAGGAATAGTTATTTTTGCTTTTTTACTTGCTTAAATAGCTTAAAGTTATTTTCCACTGGCATGTGAGCAATGTTTTGGATATCGGATCTGTTGGTCTCTGTTAAATTGGTTTGTGTATGTGTATAAGTAGAAGAGAAATTCATCAATAATTAGGACTGGTAAGCAAAGCACTTTGCACTATTACATGACGTAGGCCTACAAAATTAACAGTGCAACCTATGTAGACGTCATTACGTGGACTGGTTTTTGTTTTTGGGCTGGAAATCCTATCTATATGCCAATATGGTTGGAAACTACTAAAGTATGGTTAGTAGGAGTAGGATATATGAGACCACTGTAGTCTGTGTTGAGGTGCATTAGTCTCGTCATATTAATTTAGTACAATTATTAGCAGGAATTTTAAAACGCATTTATATAAGAGTTGAGATTTAACCTTGTACACAACTTGTGAAATACTGACGGTCTTCTTAGGATTTTTTTTCTTTTTATATTCGTGGGATTTTATTGGTATAGTTCCATTGAGGGACTAAATCAACCTTTTGATTATAATACTGTTATTTTGTGTTTAGTACCATTCTTTGCCAATATTGATGATATCATACTTCTGGTAAATATATTACAGCATAGGGCTTGAATAATTGATGTATAAAAGTTTATTCTCTTATTGATAATATGAACAAAACATTGGCATCATACTTTATCTGATGGGGTGGCTCTTGGTCCTGTAACATTAGCTAAAAGTTTGAACTCATCATAACTTCTGTGTTTGACAGAGGCAACATGGTTTACTGCTTGCAACTAAAATGAAACTTGTCTACACGTTGATAATTTTTGTCCAACTGGTTACTTAAATGCTCATGGTTTTCTTTTGTCACAGACAAGGATGACACAGCAGATTATGCTGCTACTGGTGTTGGGGCAAATGAACTTACAGCCAGTCAAAAACGTCGTCTAGATGACGTGTTCCCTTCTCCATCTTCCAATTTGGCTCAAAAGTCTAGCTTCATTAACTCTGCTACCATGCTGCAAGGTTTACGATCTTATGATTTTCATCAAAGCAGTCCCAAGCCGAATTTATCAAGTGAGCGACAACTGGCTATTGAGCTGTCTGGGAAATTGTCCAACAAGGATGGATTTGACAGCTTGGAAAGTATCATCCGCTTGAAGGAAACAGAAGCCAGGATGTTCCAGAATCGAGCAGATGAAGCAAGAAAAGAGGTGAATACATATCGTCAATTGGTAGAGACAAAAACCGAGAAGCTGGATGTAGAGTATAGTGAGAAGCTTGCAAAGTTGTGCTTGCAAGAGGCTGAGGAAAGGAGAAGAAAGAGATTAGAGGAGCTGAGAATTCTTGAGAATACACACTCTGGTTACTACAAGATGAAGATTCGAATGCAAGCTGAAATTAGCGTTTTAGTTGAAAGAATGGAGGCCACAAAACAGCTGTGGGTCTAATGATCGTATGCTCTATTTCTATGGCGCTTTCTTTTGACGCATTTAAGTAGTAGCGATCGTTGTATTCTAAGGGTGATTACTCTGATTAGCATGTCTTCTCTTTTACATTATTTATTGTTGATGAAGACGGTCGTTTGTTTCTCAACTGTTTCGAAGTTAACGATTAACCCGTTTGGGAAGATGAAGAGAAAAGTAAATGCTATTGCGAAAATACTTGTATAATGTACTTTGTATTATGTAATGTTAAGTTGTTGATCATTGTTAGCTGTTCACTTAATTCAACCCATATATATATGTTCAGATTTGTACCATCTCGTGTTATAGGAGTAGAAAAAATTAATTACTCGTACTACTCTTTTTGTAATTACTCGTAATGTTTTTCTTTTGTGGCTTCTAAGTTTAATTACTACTTTCATTTATATTATGTGCTACCTTTATTAAACTCGGATGCTGATTATGTGCTAATAGGGGTGGCAATTTGGGTCAGTGGGTCGGGTTCAGGTCAGATTTCGGGTCGATTTCGAGTTATGCTTAGAAATAATTAAAAAATAGTGTAAAACTTAATATTATTACGAAATATGAAATTTGGTCAAATCGGGTTGAATTTAGGTTATTCGGGTTCGGATCTGGTCGGGTTTCTCTCAGTAACTTCAGGTCGAATTTGTTCGGGTTATCGGGTCGGGTTAGGGATTGTCAGCCCTATGTGCTATAATTGTGTTTTTTTTTTCCTTTTTTAAGTTGTCATTCCCATCTCTCCTCGTCATAACCATTGTTGAATTTAGTATGTGCCTCAACCGCACGTATATGTTGTGATAAAAAATTTATGATGTTTTACGCATATATATAAGAGAATAACTGCAATTATTACGAATCTAATAGAACCCTTAATATCAAAGTTTGGTCAAATAAATTTGGTCAAATTCAACAGTCAAATAAATTCATATACGTAGTAAGCAAAAATAAATTGAACAAAGGGAGCCCAGCTCGTTAGTCGTCACTATTGTCAATCCTTTTCAGACAATAACTTTACCAAAGAAGACGAAAAAAAAAGAAAAGACTCTTGTTTGAATTGTTTCTCCTAAAAATTGAAAATGGGTTGCGTTGATTTTGGTAGCTGCTCTTTCTCTCTCCGCTGACCCGCGTTTTTGAGCAGCCGGTTTTGTTGTATCTCTCGATTTCAGCTCTCTTGATTTGATGTCATAAACGTAAGTTTTTCTGATTTATTAAATTGTTTATTTTTGATTAGATGTTTTGAAATTGCTTGGGGTTTCAATTTTGGATTTATGGAAGTTTAATTGTTAAGCTTTTCTGATCTAGTAAGTTCATCGTTACTTGTTATCTTAGCTCTAATTTATTGATTGATTTATAAGATTGCGGGTTCATTTAATTGAATTGGGTTTTGGGTTTAGGGTTCTAATTCTAATAATTTTAGTTGGGGATCACTTGATGTATTTATTGAATTGGGTTATCCGTTATTCGAATTGGGTATTACACGAAGTTGATTCATTTATCGAATTGTAGTATATTTGTTTTATTTATTTTTAATTTTAATTTTTTTAATTTTTAAATTTAGGGACATTCCTTTGTCTTACTAATGTATTGAGGTGCCATTGATTTAAGCTGGAATTGGCGTTGCATGGTTATGGTATTAGCCTACCATATGGCCTACTATATCTTTATCCATTTTCTGCTATTAATGACATTATGTAGTAGTTCGTCGTTTGCGAGGGTCAGCTTTAGATTATTCTTCATATAGAGATGCTTAGTTCATAACTAAAACTTATCACATGGGTGTTTTGGGAATCTTGACTTATTACTGTGCATTTCCAGGTTGTTGTATATCCAATTATTAGTATCACCTTTTTGAAAATTGAAAATCGCATAAATGTTGTAGTTCATCTTAGTTAATGTAAGATACTGGATGAATGCATTTGAAGATTAACTAATAATCCTAATATTAATTTGGGCTCTCTTAGTCTCTTTGGTTGGGAATTTGGAGAAATGTTTAGAAATTATTGTAGTGGATTCAAGTTCCTCTATAGTTGGCCTAAGATTTGGGTTGGGTGCTTTGCTCATTTGCATATCTTTTTGACTTGTGAGTGGGTGGGTGGGTGGTGAAGTGTATGAAGAGTTTTGTCCTTTTGAGAATTCCACGGCTTCCACCTTCATTGGTTGATTTTTTTTTTCAACTCATATATATGTTATCCTTTTTGATGTCACAAATGCTACCAGTCTATGATTGGATGGGATTTGGATGACTTCATTATGTCTTTTCAATATAGACTAGTTCACCTCTTTGAATGTTATGTCTAAGAATAACAATGAAGTATATCTACAATTTCCCCAATTTGTTATTTTAGTTGGTTGACTGGCGGAGATTACACAACATTCTTCTATTAAAGCAAGTAGTGTTTGTAAGCTTAGATGTCCTCTCACTTGGATTTTTATTGGCCGGGCTATATTTTCAAATCAAGAGAGTGTAATGAACCCAAGTCAACCAATATTGGTGTACACGAGGCGCGGGAAAAGAAGTCAGCAGCAACAAATCTAGGGAAGGCATTGCTTTGCAAAAGGCCAAAAGCAATTAAGAAGAATGAAGGAAGGAAGAACAACCATCTTTAGCTATGTTAATTTATGGTTTTTCCATATTAGTAAAGTAGTCACATGTGCTTACCTTATGGTCAGCCTTGACCATTAGTATAGGTATGATAGTTTAATCTGGCAGTAGTCTTTATCTAGAAAATTGTGAGAAAACTTTGGAGAGTTGCAACATCAAGCTGCTTAGAGATTGGCAGCCTAAAGTTGCTATTGTATCCCATGTTGGTCGAATATCTTCCCTGTTCGATCATTAATCAATTGGTTGCCAAGCCTTCCTTACTTAATTGTGCTAATTATAATTAATTTAGTTAATCTATAACAAACTTGGTATCAGAGCGGTCAATCATGGCGGGACCATCGTTGACCCAACGTGTAGATGTGGTGGACGGAAAGCTCGAGGAAGTCGAGTCGCGGCTGAAGTCCATTGAAGAGAAACTCACCGACCAGGATGCTTCATTGGTCGGGCAATGGCAGATGCAGTGGGCCGAGCTATGGCCGACACTCAGAAAAATATCACCGACCACTTCACGTCGTTTTTCGAGGCTAAGCGAAAGCGGCAAAAGGACAGAGTAAGACTCGAAGGGTGAGTCGACGCAACGATCAGGAGGTTCAAGCCAACATAGCTGCGAGGGAGCAAGAGAAGTTAAGAGAGGAAATGCGCCCACCATTGCCGCAGCCGCGCAACCCCGACCAGCGCCACCTCCACCTTTTCAGCCACACATTCCCATAATTGAGGACGGAAGCGAAAACCATGGTGAGAATGAGGTGCGAACCCCGAGGGAAAGGGTCTTCGGAATGCCGGAATGGAGGAGGAGGGAACCCAGGGGGTGGAATGATGAGGAGCAGTTCGACGAGGCGGAGACAATCGATGGCGACACAAGAAACTCGACATGCCCGTGTTTGAAGGCAAAGACCCAAGTAATTGTGTGATGAGAGCGAAAATGTACTTCGACTTCTATAAGTTGACGGAGGAGGACATGGTGATGGCAGCGGTGGTGTCCATGGACGGCGCTGCGTTCCAATGGTACCATTAGGAACAACGGAGAAGGCCGTTCGCTAGTTCCCAGACGAGTTCTGAAGGGATTCCGACCAACCAACTCCGGCACCTTGCACGAGCAATGTAACACCCCCGATTTACTAGCTGATAAAAAAAATAGGAATTAAAGGAAAATAAACAACATTTGAATAAAATTGCGGAAGCATACACCTAAACCAGAGGTATTACCGCCACACTCAACAACTTGTTAAGTGTTAAGGCTTACAATAATCCCAATAATTACAACCCAATAATCTAAGTGAGCTATTTATACAGTTTTATAAATTAAACTTGTTATAACAAACTAATCGAAACACTTGAGCTCCTTTAGCTACGATCATCTCTCGATCAACCTCTTACAATCTTGACTGCTCACCATTAAGGACAAATTCCAAAATAGATCGTCGCAGGGCCACCATAGGAAAAAGACATGGCCGCAAACACAAGTAGCACAACAAAATAATACACACACGTCTGCAACAAGCCGAGTAATCACCACATATCAGAATATAGAGTATAATCTAATAATTGACAATACTTGCTCAATTAAACAGTGTAGTTCGAAACTACATTACACATTGTACTCTGAAAAATAACCTTTATCAACTCAACCTCGAATAATAATACAATCCTTCACTCAATTAACTCATAACCAATAAGTGTGCCACACTCTTTGTTTTATACCTAGCTTTGGACATGGGTATTCAAATAACAAACCAACAAGTATAAAAACTTGAATACTCTCAATAACCAGAAAAGACCAGACCACATACGGGCCAATTCCCGCTGTAAGGGACCATATAAAAATAAATAATAAAGATTGTATCTCATTCTTTACTCATGATTATCATCCGTTTACCAACATGCCAAGGACTAAGGTATACAACGTTGAGCCTCAGACCAAGAATAAAATAATAATTCTCAACCTTTTGATCTTATACTTGATCAAATAATCATAAACTTGATAATAAATAGTATCTCAATACTGGCACGAGTTCCCAAATAACATGACAATCCAAACTCGATTCAATCGTAGTATATGTCAACTCTTATAGGGAAATCATACTAGTTACCCATTTGTAATCAATTCTCAACCCAAAAATAATACTATGCATTAGGAACCCTAAAATCTCGATATAACAATACTCCCTACAGAAACAACATTAAAAACCCTATAAATTATAACACAATCATATAATCAATAATATAACAAAATAATACGACAATTAAATTATATATCATGACATATTAACCAATATATACACAAAACTTGATCATCATACGAATAACAACAAATCATAGTATTTGCACATAATAATACAAAAGTATATCACAAACATCTCCAATAAAAGTTTCGTGTGATTACCTTCGACATAACACAATGAAACAACAATATTCAAGGCAAAGTTAGATCAACTGACGTTGCAATTTGCAGCGGCTTCTATATTGATCTCACAATGTAAGTCATCGTCATTTAAATCCATAGTCAAGATAATGGATATTAGAGAATGAAATAATAGTTTATAAGAAGAAACAAATTTGGGATTGATTAGCACATCTCACGGCAATTGGAAAACGACTGCGGCTTTCCCTTATTTTTTTTTCTTCTAAAATACAATTATTTTATTATGGTTGAAAATAATTTATAGTTCGTAAACAAAAGTTCTACTAGACATAAAATAAGTTATAAAAATTACTTTATTTATTTTTTTTCTATAAAATATATTATATAAAGTCGTAAAATATCCGGGTATTACAAGCAATGGTTGGCCGTCACACAAACCACCATGGCAGAGGAACACTGGCGGAGGTTCATCGAACTCGCTTTTCCTCTAGAAGACGTGCCCGAGAGCCTCATGAAGGGGCAATTTGTGAACGGGTTGAAGGAAGACGTGAAGGCGGAGCTCTGATTGCAGCACCCAACCACTCTAGAAGATGCCATGGAGTTGGCTGGGCGAATTGAAGAATGAAACAGAGTAAGTGGGGGTAAAAAGGGGGGTGTTGGATCTTGGCGGGCCGGATCCAGTAATTCTATAGAAGTGGGGGAGGCTTGATTCAATCTTATGGGCTACACACAGCCCCTACCCACAATCCAATATGGCCAAGGGCCCCAGAATCTCAAGGCTCTATCAACATGGGCCGGCCCACAACCTCTCAAAGTAAGGTGGGAAGTGGACCTCGACGACTTACGGAAAGTGAACTGCAGGAGAAACGAGCCAAAGTGCTCTGTTTTCGTTGTGATGAACGATGGGGAATTGGGCACCGATGTAAGAAACAAGAAATGAGTGTGTTGATTGCCGGAATCGGGGGTGATGAGGAGGAGATGAACACAGGCGACTTGGAGGAAAAGGAGGTGTGGGAGGAGCCCGACGCCAATGTGGAAGTCTCACTATGTTCGGTTATGGGTATTTCGAACCCGAAAACCATGAGATTGAGAGGGGTCATCAAAGGGAAGCAAGTGGTAGTAATGATCGATCTGGGAGCTATACACAATTTCATATTAACATCAGTAGTAGAAGCGGCTAAGATACCACTCACGGAGGGAGGAGAATATGGAGTGTCACTAGGTTA